TAGGAGGTGTGGGTGGTGTGGGAGGTGTGGGTGGTGTAGGAGGTGTGGGTGGTGTAGGAGGTGTGGGTGGTATAGGAGGTGTGGGTGGTATAGCAGGTGTGGGTGGTGTGGGAGGTGTGGGTGGTATAGCAGGTGTGGGTGGTGTAGGAGGTGTGGGTGGTGTGGGAGGTGTGGGTTGTATAGCAGGTGTGGGTGGTGTGGGAGGTATGGATGGTATAGCAGGTGTGGGTGGTATGGGAGGTATGGGTGGTGTAGGAGGTGTGGGTAGTGTGGGAGGTGTGGGTGGTATAGCAGGTGTGGGTGGTATGGGAGGGCATGCCAGGGCCAAGGCTCCTGCCCAGCAGCTCCCAGAACTGGTCCCTTTGGAAAGTTAAAGCGGTGCCAGCTGGCACTGGCCACTGTGTCACCAAACCCCCCAGGAGGGGAGAATGCCATCCCCTGAAGCCTCGTTCACCTCAGCGGCAACGTGGGGCCAGGCTGGCAGCAAGCCACCCTTTGCTCACCTGGTCCTTAAACACTTCGTCCTTCACGTCCTTCAGGTTGATGAGCACGTTGAAGTACGCACCAAACACACCCATCTCCAAGGCTTTGGCTGCCACCTGCAGGGCCAGGGAGCGGGGCTGGCTTCAGAGGCCTGGGCAGCCCCTGGAACCTCCCCTCATCCAAGGGGGAGCAAACTGCTCGTGCCCAAGTCCGCATCCCAGGGTCTCCTTGGAGGGTCAGGCTCAGGTCAGCTCATCCCCCACCCACAGACGGCAGGCTGCAGAGGTGACCGCCTCAGCCCCGTGTCTGAGCTCCCAGAGCAGGTGCAGCCCTGGAGGACCGGGGAAGCTGCCCCCTCTACCTGACCGACCAGGAGGGAGGCCGTGCTCCCCACCCTCAGCAGCCATCTGCCTCAGGCCCAGCCATCTCCCAGAGCAGAGGCCCTCATCTGGAGCCACAGGACCAGACCCTGAAACAGGTCTCTTCCTTGTGGACACCCTGCAAACACTGGTGTCCAGGCAGTGTGGGAGGCACAGAGCCCTGGGCCCAACTGTCCCGAGTTCGTGACAGGCTAAGCTGCTTGGGAGTGCCACATGACCACAGCCTGACTTCAGCAGGACCGTGAATGAGATCTCAAAGCCCATCGTCCAGCTGGAAGAGAAGCCAAGACCAGCATGAGGTCCCTGAGGTCCCTCCTACCTGAAGGTCGGACTGGCAGGCCAGGTTCCCACACAGGGCCAGCTCTCGCAGCGCTGGCCACAGCGGTGACACTGTTTCTGCCAGCGCCAGCGGCACGGCAACTGCACCTCTCAGCCCCTCTTGCAGGGCCGCCGTGCGCCTGGAACAGAGGGAACTCTGGTCTGAACCAGGTGGAGGGACCCCCTCTGACCCCACCACCCAGGCTCCCACCAGGGCTGGACACAGCCCTCAAACGGGACCACTGTGCCCTGGATGGGACTGCGCCATCCCCAGACTCCAGGCCAAGGTCTGGCAGGGCCGCCTGCCACTGCTCCGCTCACCTGTCCCTGTCCTCAGGAGTGTTCTTGGGCAGCTTCATTGCCTCCTACCAGGAAAGAAGACCAAACAACCACATGGCAAGTGACCACAGGGGGCAGCTGTGTCCGCAGACCATGCTGGAGTCACAGTGAGCCAGGTCCCTGTCCTGGGGCAGCATGCCCACGTGCCCCGACTACATCAGTCTTCCACCCGGGGCTGCTGGGTTGCTGGGCCACAGGACTTGGGCGGAGAGATGTTCTTGGAGAACTGCATCTGCTGGGGTCTGGTTTACCATCCTAGACAGTGGCGCTTTAGAGGGGGTGTGGGGAAGACGGGCGAGCAGCACTCCTGGGCGCACTTGTTTTTAGAGAAGGACACCAAGGACTCAGGAGGTCCTCTGATTCCTGTTCAGACTCTCCCACAACATGGGGCTCCACACAGGCAGATGCTCTGCACCAAGCCTAGACACCAGAACCTCAGGCCATGCAGAAAGATGAGCACAGACCTGAAGCCCGAGGTACTCCCTACACAGCACCATCCCACGTCACCACCTGGCCACAGGCCTGGGCTTTATCCTGAGTGCTTGCATGTGTGGTTTGTGACTTCACATGCAGGCCCACGACTGTTCCCCTCTGGGACCCCACCCTGGCCTGGTGAGCACAGGTTCAGCCCACTGCAGGGCGGTCCTGGGAGGCAGCTGTGGGGAGGTGCTGGGCTGGTGTCGGTAGCTCCAGTCCTACCTCCTCCCCAGCCGCCGTTACCGCTGAGCCCTTCCACCAGCCCTGGCAAGCAAAGGCAGAGCAAGCAAAGGCAGAGCAAGCCACTCCGCACGTCTGAGTCCAGGGCACCTGCCTCTCTGAGCCCCTTGCCTGGACCACAGCACTTCTGCACTAAGGCAGAGCCCGACCAGCTACAGGCACTCACAGCCTCGCTGGAGCCTGTGGGCTCGGCCAGCTCAGGTGGCCATGCAGCCACACCCTGCCCCAGGCCCCGGGCGGTTCTGCTTCCTGGCTCACTATGAGGTGGGTTTGCATGAGGGGTCCACAGCTAGCATCTTGCTCCCTCTGGGAAGCTCTTATTATTCCATGAGATGTTCCTTTTTTATTTTTAATCTACCTCCTTGCTGCTCACAGAGAACAGGATCAGCTCAGCTCTGCTCGGGTATCATCGGTGTAATCCTGCCCGGTGGCTCGTGGGCATACCACACGTGCCCTTCGTGCTTACTTTAGTTTTCCTTTTTGTTGGATTTAATTTGCATTTATGGGCTTTCCCCTCTAGTTGTTTACTAATCATTCATCTTATTTTTACTTCTGATTTCTAAATTTAGTGTTGTCCCTAAATTTCTAAAACTTACTTTTAAACTGATATTTCTCTTTAAATATCTCTCTTTCTCTCTGCCCCCTCATCTCTCTCTCTCTCCCTGTCTCTTTCTCTCTGTCTGCCTCTCTCTCTTTCTGTCTCTGTCGCTCTTTCTGTCTCTGTCCCTGTGTTTGTCTGTCTGTCTGGGCCACTGTCTCTCTCTCATTCCCACTCTCTTCTGTACTACCTGCCCTCTGCCATCTGACCTATTTTGAAAACTCCCATCTCATTTCACAAAGGCTTCATCTTTTATTTCAGGCCGGAGGGTGCTCTGGAATCTCTCGGAGGCTGTGGCCAGTCTTCTTTTTCCTATGGACCTCCTAGGCTGGACTGAACCCAGCTGTGCTGAGTCACAGCCCCAGCCCCTCCCAGCTCTTTGAGACAGGATCTCGAGAAGTCGCTCTGGGCCTTGCTAAGTTGCTGAAGTTGGCTTTGGACTTGCCATCCTCCTGCCTCTGCCTCCTGAGTTGGGATTATAGGTGTTGACCACCACATCCAGCTGGGACGTGGCTCTTCGTAAGGGGCCTCTCCCTCCAGATCTGGGCCGGGGGTCTGGGTCCCTCCAGCCCCAGCATCATAGGCCTTGCCTTGCCAGTGCCCACTGCCCCTGCTGGCCTGTGGCCTGCCACAGATCACCGCCCCCCAGCCCTCAGGCGGGCCCTCAGACTGAGAAGCCGGCTACTGGCCCCACAGCATGGAGGACACCAGTCTTCTCGTTGCTCTGGTTTTGGCCTCCTGTGCTGGGAGCAGTCCTCACCCCAAGCTGCCCACCAGGCAGTCTGCAGGTCCCTGAGCTGGACCAGCAAAGGCCAGGGGTTGGGATAGGCCCTGCAGGTTCCCCACCCTCACCAGGTAGGTGGCAAAGGCCTGGGCATCCGCGTCCACCAGTGAAGTCAGCTGGGCCAGGGCTGCATGGAAGGGCGGGATCAGGCGCCGCATCACTGCATCCAGCTGCTCAAACTGACGCCGACCGTAGGTCATCTGGCCCACCATGGAGGCCAGAGCTGCACCCTGGAGACGAACAAACTGTGATGGAGCTCACAAACCAAATAGCCCCAGGCCAGAGCAGAGGGACCCCGTCCTCCTGCAGGGGACCATGGGGTGGGGGGTCAGCCCCAGACCAGAGCAGAGGGACCCCGTCCTCCTG